AAAAAAAAAAGCTTCTTAATTCTCTATATCAGTTATGCTATCACTTTATTAGAAGTATTTCTCTAAATAGAGTGTCTCTGTTCAATGTGCGTTAGACGGCTTGCTTTTTTAATTGCTGGCACAAGAGCTACATTTAGTCAACAATCACAGACAGGAAACATTGTTAAAAGGCTGCTGTGAGAGAGGAGCTTTTTGATACCATATAGTCACAATAAAATACAAGAGTATAGGCCATTGCAAGTATTGTCATTATTCATGTGCATAAGTTAGACATTTAAAGTGGCAGAAAATATCATAAAGCATTGACATAAACAGTTAAGTGTTAAACATACAATTCATAGCAATCTGCACATCTGCATCTGCACATTGAAGCACATCTGAAAAAAGGGGTTATAAAACTACTCTGATTACCAAAGAGACACATTGTATTAAATAAGACAATAGATGAAGATAAGTGAATAAAATAATTTTGAAATAATCAATTAAGGTATCAGTGTATAAAAAACGTCAGCCAGTGTCCAATCATCTTGTTCCATTTTACCCTGGAAAGCAAGAAAAAAAGAGAATGTGATAGTCTTATGTGGTAATTACAAACTACTAACTACCAAACTGAGAGATTCTGACCTGAACACTATTGAATCCAGTCCTGGTTCAGGTTATTAGTTCTTCCACAACCTTTAAATGAGAAAACAATTATACCAAAACATTACTGAAACCATTATTGGTACTCATAGAAATTAAAATCATGCTCAAGTAAAATCAACCTTTCCACAGTACTGTTCCTCTCCAGCACACATAGACACTTGACACCAGTAACAGTAGCAGAAGCACACAGAAGACAGGCAGCCATAAAACTATCTCTGATTCATGACTGATAGTATCTGTATCCTGATCAACATCTTCAGTGCTGAAATCTACATCACCTGACAGAATACTGAGTATATGACAACATTCTTTGTTCTCCTGTGTTATGTTTCCAAGGAAATTGATATTAAAATTGATACTGAATTTAAAAGCATTGAATGCTTACATGATCATTCATTTTAAATTAATATATTTTAATTTACATACAAATTGTCTGAAACATATACCTTGATAGTCCAGTTTTGTGCAGTGAGATTGTTCAAGTGTGAAGTCCATGCAGCAGTAGAGCATGAGATCTGAGATCAGTGTCAGTGATGTTCATCAGAAGCAGAGAGTGTTTATGGGAGAAATGAGTGCTGTTATCCGACCTGCATAACTTGGGTGAATAATGGAGGGCTCTGGTTTAAATTTACCTCCATAAAGATATTCTAATTTCAGAATTCTAACAAATGTTTGGTTTCCATTTATTGCTTTTATCCAAAGCAACTTTCAGGTGAAGAACATCACAAGCATTTGATCATACAGGAGTCAATAATATTCACAGAACTGGTCAAATAAAAGCATTTGCATTTCTGTATTGGCTTATCAAATAGCATTATAATAGTCACATATAAATAGTCTTAGGATCATGTTCTCTCTCACACATAGTGAAACCATCATCACAGTCATGGGGTTAACAGAGAAAGCTACAGTAGAGGCCATTTCCCTTTATCAGATATTGTTGGTTAGATAGCACATTGTATTGATAAGCTCAAATAACATGAAGTAACAAAACTTAAAACCTTAAGATACTGTATTTTCAAGATATTTTCAAGTATTATTTTTCTTGCGGGGACATTTGTTGCCTACAATGTAGGGAATACCTGAACCACACACACCTCTACAGTTCTTAGATACAGCAAGTTAAAATACTGTAACTTCATTCATACCCTAACATTTTGCATTTTTACAAAATGAGGACATCCTCAAAATAGGTTTTGTCAGGTTTAGCTCACTTCTGAGTACATAGTTATCCTCAAAATATGGTATATGTACATAAAATATGTACATATATAAGCCATATCAGCTTTTCTTTAAGCAGCCATATCACCCTGTAGCCCAAGACTGGTTGCCCACTGCAGCTAAGCAGGTTTGAGCTTGGTCAGTACCTGGATTTATACTGACCTAATCATACACACACACACACACACACACTCTCTCTCATTCATTCTTACCAATTAAATGGGTTTAAAGCCATATAGGACATAATGTTCATATTAATTACACTGTAAAAAAAATCTGTGACATTTACGGTAAAATACAGCAGCTGTGGTTGCCAGAACTTCACCGTAAAAAATATGGTAGCAACATTTTAGGTTTTACAGACTTAACTTAAATTCACAATAAAATACCGTATTTCATTAACTGATGTAATGCTAATAAACCAACATATTGAAGTGTTAATATCTGTTTTGAACCATTGTAATGCACTGATAACCACCAAAAACTGGTGGTGATGAGAAAGTCACATGTTGAACCAAAGCTCATCACAAAGCTTTTCTACGAGCTGAGGAGGGCAATACTTATATATAGAAGGTGCACAGTGTCATTCACACAAACATTAAAGCCCATCATGGTGACACACATGATACTGAAATAATGCAATAAACATTCATTTAACAACATTAGATGTAAGATTAAACCCTAATGTACACAACTGATAAGAAACAACAAAAAGAAGAAACATGTTATTTCAACAAAAAAACATCAAATATGAAGTGTCATGCAGCGAATTCTGGGAGTGTCAATTTACGTTTTTTCACTGTAAATTATACAATGAATTTTTCTTTTTTACTTCCAAAACCCGTATTTTTAACAGTATTTTACTGTAAAATTACATTAAATGCAATTACATGTATTCACCGTATATAGTATGGAAACTTACTGTTAACCAGTTAACAGGTTTTTACAGTCTTTTACTGTTAAAATCACAATAATTTTTTACAGTGTACCTAAACTTAAGTAAACTTTTTTACTTTTACCCGACAGACTTTTTTGTTGCTAGAGAAAGCAAGAGAAGTACACAGACAACACTAGATAACACCAAATCATGACTAATGTTTACTGAATGATCATCCACGTAAATTCTGCAGGAATGTTGATATTTTTGAGTCCATTTTTACTGTGAATTTTGTCCAGAATATTTTTCATTCACTAAAGTAAAAATAAGTTATGAGTGATGTTATTTACAATTGAATTTCACCTCAATGTTAGTCAATTGACCTTTAGAACTTGTTGTGGATAGTCGGTCCAGTCCAGTTTAAGTAATTTAATTGGCTTGGAATCCTACCTTCACCTAAAGTACCTTAGATGTTCTTTTAGGTCTGTAGTTGATTTCCACCTGCATTGAATTAATTAATTTATTTATTTGGTCTGTTCAGTTTCTCTTTCCCTTTTTTTAGTCCTATAGTAAACTCTTTAATGAGTTCATTGTGGTATGACACTGCAAAGACTTTGTAAGGCAAACAGTACCTCCTGCGGAAGTCTCAGTCATGTCAGTGTTATCTTGTTACGCACATGGATTTCCTGATACAGGAACTCAGGGGCTTCAACACATTTCTTAAAAGCTAGACCACAGCTCCTCCAAATCTGTTTTTGTTAAGATGCATTATTAACTTTAGCATATAAAAAGCATTTCAAATAGTGCAAGTAATCTTGAGAAAAGACTGCAATGTGGCTGGGCTATCATTTCAATTATTGTTAATATTTGTAGTATATTCTTGATAAAAAAAATCACAAAAACATCTTTCCACAGAGATGCAGCTACGTGTCAGTGTTTGTCATGATTGCTGAGACAGCAGAGGGGAAGTAGCTACTGGAGGCAAGAAAAGTAAGTGTAGGTTTGAAACAAAAAATAATTAATAATAAAGCCTCATCAGTGATCAAAGCCTTAGTGGTGCTTTATTATAGTATTGTGATTGAAATTCATTTGAATCAATGAACGTTTTAACTAAAACATTTAATGTATTGTACAAGCATTCAGTTGAAACATTAGTCAACCTTTATTTTTTGTTCTCTGCGACCATTGATATTTTTTGTGAGAGCCTCACCACAACAACCACTTAAATAAGATATCTATTTTGCTTTGAAAATGAACATTTTGACATGCTCATTACCATTCCTTGCCATGCAGTGGGTCTAAACCTCAAATGCACTCAGTGGTGTGTTTTGAATTTAGTTTTGTAAATTTGAATGAAAAAAAATGTGGATTGTACAATCCTTAGGTTCTTTTTGCCAGAAGATTGAGTCTGAAGTGTTGTTGCTAAATTTGATTATTTAATGAAGCACAATGGCAATTGTTTTTTCACAACTTGTAGCGTTAGAAAAGTGTGATAACTTAAAGACCTCAGAATAACGTGATGACAAAAGCAAAGTCATTATTGATTGTGCAACCGCTCTTGCATCCATAATTGATATTTTTCATTTCAAAAGAATTATCATAATTTAAATGATACATTATTACCCTACATTTGCGTCATTTCACATTAAGTTGATTTTGAAGACCCTGGAATTTGTTACCCTCTTAAAATACTCAACTATATGACAACTTGGATAATTAAAAGGATAGCTCATCCAAAACTAAAAATTGTCATAATTTACTCACCCTCATATTACTGTCGCCCTCATAAATAACTGTAAACAACCTGGCAAGTAAAATACTGATCCGTTCCTATAGGTTGCTTGTACATTAATTTGCATCCCTCTGTGTATTTTTTTTTCTATCACAGGGTCATTGCCTATTGGTGAGTCAAGGGCATCTATGACGTTATGAAATAAAAGGTGAAAACACCACAAGTGTCTTTCATTCTACTTGCATCCACAGAGCGAGAAGCCCAGAGAAAATCATGCTGAGAGGATTGATAAGTATGCCAAAGGCTTTATGTGTCCTCCTTTTGCTTAATATATGTATCCTATGTGTTTACGCATATGAGCGCACGATTAAGCAGTGTCTGTTTTTCTGTGTATGATGGACTGAAATTAGCAATGGACAAAAAATTTAATTTTTTTTATAACGTTACTTTTTTCTGACCTCTTCTTTAAATGTATTAGGAGATAGATTGACTGAGTTTGCAATATTATAATGTGGTATCATAAAGAATCCTTCATAGAATGATGTTTGAATTGATAGATTTTCAGATTTTCTGTCTGTGATGGCTGACTGCTGAATGTTCACAGTAAAAAGTGACAATATTTAAGAATATATAGCAATAGAAAATAATATTTTCTTGATTTGAATCTGATTGTGAATGCATTCTCTTGGCAAGCTTGAAGCCACTGTGGGCATTTCTAGTAATGTGTTGGACTTACTACAAAAAACACTGGTCCAAAAAAATGCATGTGATCTTTTCTGAAACCAGTTTCTGGACCACTGAGAAATGGAAATTAAAACCTTAATTTCATGATGTTTGTTCAAAAGGATGTTAGTGTGGAAACTAAATCTGTCAGTTCTAAATCAGCCAGTCTTGTACATGAATGTGAAGAGTTCATATACAGTAGCATTCATGGTAAAGGCCTAAGCACTGCTATGGGCATTGTGACTGAAAGCGAAGTGCACAGCAACTGGAACAACAGGAAGTGGTTCTCAATAGAACATTCACTTATACAGGTAAAAAAAAAAATTGTTTAAAAAAAATTGAATTTAAGAACTAGTTTCATAATCAAGAAATCAAATATTCTAAAAAAAAAAATAATAATAATAATAATTTAAAAAGTGAAATTGTGAAATTGAGATTTCAATTAAAAATAAATAAATAAATTGGAGTAAATACACTCTGAAGTCATTATACATTAAATTTTCATTCGTTTGTGTACTGAATTATTGATATGTAGCAATAATAACTTCATCCTCCAATGCTCTAAACTGGTCCCTTACTAATTCTCACTTTGACAACAGAAGACAAATATAACTATGTTCCATGATCTAGG